AGCCAGACTTGTTGCTAAGGGTTTTACTCAAAAAGAAAGTATAGAAGGTTATGAGATATCTTCAGGGAACAAAGGATTATATGCTCACCTATAGGAGATCAAAATAGTTGGAAGTGAGCGAATACTTAGACTCAGATTTTTCTGGTTGCCTTGATAGTAGAAAATCGACATTAGGTTTTGTTTTTCTACTAGCTAGTGGAGCAATTTCATGGAAGAGTGTGAAGTAGTCCACTATTGCTTCATCTACTATAGAGGCTGAGTTTGTGGCATGCTTTGAGGCTACAAATCATGCTTTATGCTTGCGAAATTTCATCTCAGGACTTGGTGTTGTTGACTTAATCGCTAAGCTGCTGAAGATATATTGTGACAATACCAAAGCAGTTTTCTTCTCTAAGAATGGAAAGTACTCCAATGATTTCAAACACATGGAAGTAAAGTACTTACTTGTTAGAGAAAGAGTCCAGAAACAACAAGTGTTAATTGAAAACTTAAGCACCTCTTTTATGATTACTGATCCATTCACAAAGGGATTACCACCAATGACATACAAAGAGCATGTTATCAGGATGGGTCTTTTAAGCAACCCATGATGTGTATGGTTAATTTTGAGTGCTTATTTTTATTTGACACTATTTGGGCAACAATAATTTTGTTTCTATTTTCCTATTTCTAAAAGTGTGTGTACACATTAATTTGAATATTAATAAATAGGGAATGTCTTAACAATACAAATTACAGGGGCCTTTTAGGCAAATAATTACATATCTCGATAATGGACTGGGTTAGTGAAGGTTATCGATGGTGTGGTGCATAGAAGGAAATATAACATAAAATGTTATATAACCACTATGACTCACATTGGTGATCTGAAGTAATCATAGTATTATAGTTTCTAATATATCTGAACTTATTAGCTATTTTTTAAAAATTCGTGATCTTGTGTCAAAGTTTTTAATGTGGAATCCAATGAGTCAATTTTTTTTTTTATAAATTGCATATTTTTGGAAAAGCTCATAATTGCATCATAATCGGCTTAATGGGCCACGTGGGAGAATGTTGGATTTATTTTCTAGTGTGGCCCAATAGCCTACATATTTTTTATATGCTTTGGTTTTATTTGGACTCCACAATTAGATAAAACCAATATTTGAGATAAAATTCAGTAATTTGAATTTTAATATAATTACTCTTCTAAGATAAGAAAGAAACCTTGATGGATAGGAATTCTTCTAATAGAGTTTATCAGGCCCTCTTCTGTTCTCTATATAAGGATGGGTGACTCTCCTTACATAATATGGGTATTTTTCTGTCACTCTAAGCTTTATAGTCATCCTAATTAAGAGAGACAGAGAGAAGAAGGTAAGCCAAGAATTCAAGGTTCTATTAGGGGTATTTTCTCAACTTCTCTAATTCAATGGTTGACAAAGGTATATTCATTTTATTTTTGAGTTGTATTGAATTTAAGATCCTGTAAGGTTTAATTCCGCTTTATTATCATGGTTTTATGTACATTAATTTCTTACAGGGAGTATTCGGTTAAGTCTGGGTACATACAAGCATTGATAAGATCTTACCCCTTCATTAGGAGGAATGTGCCTGAGCACTTAGTGTGGAAGAAATTGTGGCAACTCAAAATTCCTCCTAAGTAGACTTAATTTATTTGGAAGTGCCTTCATTGTATTTTACCAGTTCGGTGGGAATTAAAAAAGAGAGGTATGTGGTTGATCTAGCATGTGCAAGGTGTCATAATGGGGAAGAAACTTTGGAACATGTGTTCTTTGATTGTCCAATCTCGTAAAGGGTGGAGGGGATCTGCATTGAGTCTCGACTTTAGCATTGGAATGCCAGTATCTTTCTTTGTGTGGTTTAGAAATTGGATAGAGCAAGTTAAAGATGAGGAGATTATTATTCAGTCAGTGGCTATTTTATGGGCAATATGGTTACAACATAATAGCACTGCTGGAAATCAAGGATTTAGCGGCGTTTAAAAAACGCCGCGATAGGTCCTAAAAATGCTGTTAAAACCTTTTGTGACGTTTGGCACTAAACGTCGAAGACGCGGCCGTCGCTATAACTTTATGACGCTTTAAAAACGTCGCTATATGACTATAGGCGGCGTTTCTAAAAACGCCGCTAAAAGTTCTACTAACGTTAACATGACATCACCATACTATTTAGCGACGTTTTAAAACGCCGCCGTATCTCTTTTTAAAAGAAATGGAGCGCTTGGTGTGACATTTAGCAACGTTTTTAGAAACGCCACGATAGCCTTGTTTTTTTTTTTCTAAATTTTATGTAATTGAACTAAAAAATCCCTGTAATAAAACTGAAGGCCTCGATGCTATATAAGGGTCCAGGTTTTTACTTTTATAGCCCAGGAACTCCCCCTCCATTCCCGATGTGGGACACCGGGACCTTACACTATGTTTAAAAGCCTTCCTATTACATTAATGTACATAAAAGTGAGTGGTGCATCTCCCAACTTAACATTGCCATTCACCCAACATACATATCCACAAGAAATGCCGAAAACCAGAGGAATTAAAACAAGCATATCATATGACCTCCATACATACAAATTCTTAATTGAGTGCTGAAAAAAAAAATACAAATTGACTCTCTCTCTCTCATGTAGAATATAAGTTCTAGAATAGGGCAGCAGAAAAAAATACAAAAAACCCTAAAAAGAACCCATTAATTCAACAAAAAAATCAACTCTGACTGTTCCCAAAATAGCAACAAATGTCCCAGCAGTAAAACAAAGTCAAAAACAACCTACAAAACACACATTAAACAAGATCCTCAACTTTCAAATTGAACATGTAGAATCAATAAGGCCTATTCTTTTTTCTTTTTCTTTTTTTTATTTTGTTTTGTTTTGTTTTGTTTTGATTGCCAACAAAAAAGAATTGTAACTTAACCATGAGGTAAGGGTCTCCATTCAATATGGAAGGGTCAAGCAGACAGAACCATGATGTAATGGGACATTATAAATTAACCCACTTACAGAATTCATGTGAAGACTCGTCAGGTCTACATACTAGACTCGTAATGTTCTAACCAACTACACAATGGCTAGTCAGGTCCATGACAAAATACTAATTTCCAACACCAAATCACATCATGTCTTAATAGAATTAGAAAAGTGAGAAATGAAAAACTAGTGATGTTTAGTACTTTTACCTTGTTAGTTCTTCTTATTCTTCTTCTTCTTCTTCTTCTTCTTCTTCTACCCTTTCTTTGAAAGGTGAACCTATATTTAATAAGGACAAGTATTGTAATTAATAAGATATTGTATTGTCAAAAAAACTTTGATTAAATGATTGCTCACCTCTTGGGATGAAAATGCATGAGATTGTTGTTGATGTGACATTGGCCAAATAGTGGGACAACTACTAAGTGAATCAACAACCTATCATTGAATAAGAGGCTAAAGTTGTATAGTAGCTCTGGACAATTTAAAGTAATAACTAGTAAAAATAATGAAAATACCTACTGCCTATGTACTGGGTTCGAGGGTGTAATAGCTGGTGCAACGGGCACGCCCGCAGCTTGCAATTGAGATTCCAAAATCCCAATTCGTGACTGAAAATCTGCACGTACTTTCTTTAGTGTGTGTGTGCGCGCGCACCTACGAATTTGGATGCAACTGACAAGAATTTTCCTCCTATTGTCTTCTTGTTTCTCTTAACGTCCAAGTTCTCAACTGTCTAATATACCTACGTTACCCGTTCCCCCAATCCAACAGAAAATGGTAAAGGCTAATCCTCTTAATCCACATATTATCTCAAACTACTGTGTCAGTCTATACCAAAAAAATTAAAACATTGTCAATTTGTTCATGCCCTAGTCAAAGAACCTATGACAAGAAAGCACACACAGGCAAAACAAAGAACAATCTCTATAATGTAAACTGAGTTTCATAACCAAAGGACTAAAAATAATAATATGCACGAATGAAAACATAGCGATAAGATTTTAAGGATTGAAGAGCTGTGCATGTCCTCAGTTCTATTATATATATCAATAAGAAACAAACAACACACTATACGGGAGCAAGAGAAAAGAAGTTTGACCTTGGGATTTGTAACAATGACTCCAAATGCACTGAAAGTATCATACAAAAGTTTCTCATCCACATCCTGCAAAGAAAATCAGAGCCAGGTTCGAAATTGAAAAACTATGTCATAGGCATATAGCAGTTTACAAGGCATGATAAATGTAAGGTTGCCTATCCATGTTTACCAATTTTCAAGATGTAAAAGAATTATGATATGCAATACAAAAAAAATAAAAAATAAAATAAGAAAGGGCACGCAACACGACATGTTATTTGACAACTTGGTCTCCATCATTAGAAAGGTACAATTGCTTCCATTCAGCCAATCCAGTTATGTAAACGGACATAGGAACTTTCTTCTAAAGTTTTTATACATTGAATTGTTGAATACATTTTCTTGATATCCAGCAGAAACAATAGATAGACAACCAATGACTATGTTTAACAGTTCCCATCGTGACAAAACATCATATTTAAGTACTAAAAAAAAGTAAAAGCAAAAATTACTCAAATAAGAATAGCAATTAAGAAGCATCAGACCTCCCATATTCATCAACAAATTTGCTTTTATACCCTTAAAAGTGATTGAAATATATTTGATGGTGCCCTGCAAATTTGCAAGACTGTTATTACTCTACCTAAATTCAATAAAAACCATGATTTGTTTGAGAAGGTAATGCTTGAACTCGCTCTCGACAAGGATAATCACAAGGGAAGGATGCCAACGCCACAGCCGAGTTCACTGTCTCAGGTTAACCCCCACCACACCTTACCGGTCCCACTCTGCAGCCCCTCTGCTATCTGAAGAACACAGCTCTTGAGGATTTTGCACTTCAACATCAAAGTCATACCAGCATAATTGCTGAGTAAATATGTCCCTCTAAAATTCTTAATTTACCACAAAAATGAGCATGGGGAACTACTTATATAGACGTTATCCATGAACTACTCATCAGATTCAAGAGGCCTCATTGAATCAGGTGAAAGGCACACCACAAAATCCATAGTCCAGGTACAGCGAGGGAGAAAATGGGAGGGTGAGGTAAAAGATAAGAACAAAGGCATTAAATTTGAGTGAGAATCATTTCTTGTTGAGGCCATCTGTGTATTCACTTTAAACAGGAGTAGAGGGGATTCAAGGGTAGGTTTTTAAAGTTGAGGGGGATCATATCTATATATACAAACCATTTTATACATGTTCGGATGTTGCTTCTGTATCTGTAGTATTAGTGTTTGCGATGTATCCATCAATACATGATGGAATTTATCATTGATATCCATTGGCAAAATATTGCAACTCTTAAATCTCAATATATATATGTACACATTACAATATTTCATTCCATTATTAGACTGTTCCTATTTTAAAATTAACAGTGTATTAGATCTCTTTTTGTGTATTTTCAAGTGGGTAACACCAAGAATAATAATTTTTAGTACACTTTCAGTTCATACAGACAATTAATCTCCCAATTCCACATACATCTCCAAACACGTCCTTGAAACGAAGGCATTCTGAATTATAACAGACAAAACAAGAAGCAAATACCTGTGGTTATCCTGAACATCCTTTAGTTCCACCACACCATTTTGCTGTTCATCTTTGACCTTTGAAAGAGGAGAAAAGAACTGCAAAGGGTGGTTTTTCATAACGGTAGATGGACAGTAGAATGGAAACAAAAACTAAAGTTCTAAGGGAGAATAATATATAATAGATTATGGTCATTATAGTTGGCAAACATATAAAGGAAATAAGACATACTTTACAAAGGGCTCTATATTCCTTCTGAAGGCGCTTTACACATGCTTTCTCTGCCATCTAGCAGCTTCCAATGGTAAGAAAACAGCAGATCAATTCCCTAGCTTAAGTCCCCTGGCTGTCCCTTGATTTTGTAATATGTTGACTGGAAAACATAAGAGTCATTCTACAACTTGAGAATTAATGTGTGAACTAAAAATTTCTAGAGCAGAAAAATCAAGTCATGAATCTAATCAATACTTAAACAGGACAGATACTAAAAGGGATAATTTCTATTGCAAATTTCTTTGTAAAACTATATCTTGTATAATGAATTATATCTCCATTCTCACTAATTTTTTTAAAAAACTAAACTGTCACAAGAAACAATTTGGGAGATTGAGGATTATGGGTAGGCGTTACAAGAGGTAAGTCGAAACTCATTTTGGTGTCTATTTATAACCCTTCTCATCATCTAATCATTTTCCCTTGAGGCCAACGCCACTTGTAATTAGTCTGGTATGCAACTCTCTCTCTCTCTCTCTCTCTCTCTCTCTCATCTTTTGTCACATGTCTACGTCTGTGCTTCGTAGATGAAGAAAATAAGATCAAAATTTACAATGTAATATTATTACATACTTTTTGTAGTACAACTAAAAATTTCTGGCAAATATGGTTTACAAACTTTTATTCCTTAGTAGAATAACCAATGACTCCCTCCATCCCAAATTATTTGTCTATTTTTACTATTTCCCATGTCTCAAAAAATTATTTATATATTTTTAATTTATTCTTTTTCAATCATTTTAAAAACTTTATCTTCAAGAACTAAATTGAGATCTTTTACTTTTGTGGAGAAAATTTTGAATTTTCTTTGACAAAAATATATATTGACCTGATTAAAGGACTCGAAGTGGACAAACAATTAGGGACAGAGGAAGCATAGTTTTAGCTCTCAGAGGATCAATGGAATTGCACAAAAGAGAAAAGAAATTACTTGCAAATTTGAGTGGGTTTTTATAGATAGAGAGATAGAGCAAAGGTCATGTATAAGTTCTTGTTGAATCCCTCTTACACCCAATACCCAAAAAATGTGTATACATGTTATGCATATATAAGTTTTCAAGATCTATTTGATAGTAGTTCATACTGACAATTTTTAATTTTTATTTTTTTAAATGTCAGAAATTAGAAAGAATGGGTAATCTACTATGTTGTCTGCAAGTTGATCAATCAATAATTGCTATAAAGGAAAGATTTGGCAAGTTTGATGAAGTACTTGAGCCAGGTTGCCATTTCATGCCTTGGTGTCTTGGAAGAAAGGTTGCTGGTCATCTCACTCTCCGCTTGCAGCAGTTGGATGTGCGATGCGAAACTAAGACTAAGGTTTCGTTTTGTCTATATACTTGAGTAGCTTGGTTCATTTTATACTCCTGTTCAGAACCTAATAAATTGAACTCGCAACGACAACTTACAATTAAATATTTCTTCTCAACAGTATAATAACTTCTTGATTTGAATCTAAAAATGAATATTCATTTTTATTTTACTGCAGGATAATGTATTTGTGAATGTTGTTGCATCTATACAATACCGAGCCCTGGCTAACAAAGGGAGTGATGCTTTCTACAGACTCAGCAATACTAGAACCCAAATCCAAGCCTATGTATTTGATGGTATGTGTATTTTTTTTTTTTGAATTAATCTAGACAAATATATAGGGTATGCAAACATGGGGAATGGAACTTCAAATCTTAGGATTTTGGTAGATTCATCCAAAGTCTTGTATGTCTTCTCAGGCAACTGTAACCATAAGAGGAATTAATTAAATACTAGCATATATGAAACAAGAAGGATCAAATGAATTAACAAGAAGGATCCATGTCATAGCATCTCTAACGTCCAAGCAGCCAAACCAATCCCGTGCGCAAAAGTTCAGATCTTTCTTAAGCCATGCAATCATGAGAAAGGTTGTACAGTGTCCACCGAAAAATTTATGCATATAATGGGTGGTGTGCACGATGTAGGAGTGTGCACTGACTGTAGAGAACACCTACATAGTGAAATTGACATGTAGACAACATAAATTACAGAGATCATCCCTTTCTGAGGGAATTTAAGACTCTTCAAACAGCCTATCCTGGATGATCTGTCCAAGCTTCGTGTACAGAGCTCGCTGCTCCTCGAAAGTGAGGTTCATCAATATCTGCATCACAGAAATGCCACCAAAATAATTCCTCATGTTTATTGATTGAATCTGAATGTAAAAATATATCCACAAGCAATCAGCATTCTAGTACACAAACTTACCTGGTCCAAAATCATCTCAACTGATAAACTTTGTGATGCAACAAATAACTGATGATAGATGTATGCGAAAACAGTCATCACCATCTGCATGAACAGAGTCAGATTAAGCACTAACGTATGAACATTACTTATTCCAATAATAGTGCCATTTTACTTTCACAATCAAGATTGTCAGCAAAAAATGGATATCCAAGCCAAGCCAACCCAACTAATTTGGGATTAACACTTTTAGCAGCATAAACATTCCAAAGAGTAGCTCATCGTAGAAACATCCTATTAATGCCATATTATGTTTTGAGACCATAGAAATTTACAAATCATCCATCTGATAAGAAAACAGATGAATATTAACCTGTGAAAACTATACAAATATCTACAATACACATTATGACATCTACAATACACATTGATAAACAAATATTGAAAGACAAATTATAAATTGAGAGAGTAATACTTGAATCGAATCAATAGATCTTCAATCTGATCTAAGAATGATAAAGTAGATGAAACCTAGCATACTTGAGTCGAAAGATTCCGTCAGTAAGAAGATCGAGATGAGACTGATCAACACTTAATATGAAGAAAGAGCTGCGAACGCGAACGCAAACATGAACTAGAGAAGAGGCTTGAATCGATCTATGAATGCTTGAATCAATCTGCAAATACGAAGGGGTTCAGCTATGGTTCTACAAATATGAAGGGTTGTCTCTGAAACGAAGGGGTTTGAAGCTAGAGACAGTGAAATCAAGGGTTTAGAGAAAGGAGAGCAAGACTGAGAGTGAATAATACTTGAACCGATCTTCGAATACATGAATCGATCTACGAATACAAAGGGGTTCAGCTGCGGTTCTACAAATACGAAGGGGTTTGAAGAGAGAGAGAGAGAGAGAGACAGAGAGAGAGACTGAAATCAAGGTACACTACTTTATGTTCATATGTTAAAAAAATAAAAAATAAAAAAACACATTCGAAGGCGTTTTTAAAACGACTTGAAATTAAAACGGTGTTGTATTGTTAAACAAAAAAATGCGACGTTTATAAAAACGCCGCTAAATGTTAGAAACAGAGGCATTTTTTTAAACGCCGTTAAATAGACGCCGTTAAATCCCAATTTTCTTGTAGTGTAGCTTTGCTTTTAATCACAATGCGGTGTCTGTTGAAGGCACGATTGCAGTAGCAAATGAATTTTTCATAATAGCTGTGTGTTGTGTTAATTCATGTTCACAAGCACACAAAGATAATTTCCCTGAGGCACCCCAATCCCAATCTCACCTGTGTGTTTTGCAGCAATCAGAAGACCAAGTTGGATGCTCAAAAAGTTGGACTTTTCTTATTGATGGGTCTAGGAGATCACATGATCAGGGGCAGGCATAGTTTGGATATGCTTAGATGAACACCATCCGCAAAGTGGCTCACAGTGCAGAGGCAACTTATTCATTAACATCTCCTTTGGTAGTTGAAGCTAAAGCATGTTTGGAAGCTATACAATGGGAAGCGAGCAAAGGTTTACCCAGGGTTACTCTAAAAACAGATTGCCAAATTCTAGCAATGATGCTTCAAAATAAGAAATGTAGCAGATTGGCATGTTACTCCTATAATTAATAATGTTTTATATTTTGCTAAGTTTTTTCATTTTCTTAGTATAATTAATGTAGAAAACAATGTAATACAACCAGCCCATGAGCTGGCAATTGATATAACTCGTTTTCATATGCGTGTTTATGTCCTCTAAAAAAATAAAAAAAACAGCCTAAGAATTAAACATTTGTTTATTAAAAAAATATATAAATAAAAAAGGCTTATCATTGAATGATAATTAGGCCAGTACAATATTCCAAAGTATATCATTAATCTTCAATTTTTAATTTTAAAATTTAAAATTTTAAGAGTTTTCAAGATGCAATGTTTTGACAAGTCAAAAAAGTTGAACATGAAGCTCACCTAATATGTGCCTTCCTTTAATTAATTATTTTAAGGATCTTTGGATATTAATTAAAATAATTATTAAGATTAAATTACACTGACGTCTTCTTTGTATTTTTTTGACTAGTATATTCCATTCTCTATAATTTGGAAAGATAATTTATTTGTTGTTGAGTTTATTTAGATAATTTATTTGTTGTTGAATTTATTTTACATTTTACATATATTCGTCTAATAAATGTTATGTTTATGGTAAGATTTATTATATTTAAAAAAATAATAAAATTTATTGCACTAGAAAAACATAAATATCTAATATCTCTTTCTCACTTTTAGTAATAAGTGAGGTTTATAATATTTTTTTTATAGTCTAAAGTCGCTCACCCATGCCTACTATCTCATTCTCTCTCCTCCCTCTCTTTCAACTTTTACTGTGTGTGGATTCAGCATGCTTACTCTCGCTGAGAGTCAAATACTCAAAGCTCTCGGTCTTTACGACTATGACGATGTTTGCGACGACTATGACGGTGTTCGCACTCAATGATTTGTCGATCTTCACTGCTGGACACTCGTACATATATGATTTGAGGCTTCATCTTGTGCCAAATAGGCGGTTGATGGAAGCTAATCTGGAGAGTTTGGCAGCGGCGACGGTGTTGCTGACAATGGAAAAGGTTAGACAAAATTAGAATATATGATTGCATAAAAGATTCCAATTAAGCTAATAGGGTTTTGAGAAGAAGGAAAAAAAAAAAAAGAAAAAAGAAAAAAAGAAAGTGGGTTTGACAGAAACTGGATTGGTATGGAGAGAACAAGAAGAAGATCAAAAAAAAACTAAATCCAATTAAAACAAAATCTTTGAAAGCAAATTAGCAGTCAGATAAATAGGAGAATATGTAAAATATTGGAATTGGATGAGGATTTGAGTATAAAATATTAGAAAAAAATCAAAAATCAAAGAAAGCTCATATATATTGAATATTCTTTGCTTGGAGTCACCTTTCAGTGAGAAAATTGGAAATGGATAAAGGCGAGATGCATCGAACACTTTGATGACTTTTTTTTATTATTATATATATTTCAATTATTAGTTTACTAACCTGTTGAGTGTGCCCTGGAGCTTATTGTAGTTGCCATTCTTTGAGTAGAGGGAGAGAGAAATTTTAATTCCGAAAATTTTAAAACACATAGAAATTTTGTGTTTTGAAATTTTTTTTGTTTGAAATTTTTGTGGTTTTAAAACACAAAGAAATTTGAAAACACATTTGCATCACTTGTTAAATTACTTCCCTCGTAGAGGGAAGAATTAAAGGGTTGATAAGAAATTATTTCATTTTTTTTTCTCTCTTCTCTGTACAATACACAGAGAAATTGCTTCAAATCAGAGAAATTTCCAAAACACAGAGAAAATAAAAAAAAAAAAATCTCTAAATTTCTTTAAGTTAGGGGAAATTTTTCTGAGTTGAAATTTCTTTGAATTTCTCTGAGTTTGACCAAAATTTCTCTGAGTTTGGCGAAATTTCTCTGAGTTTGGTCGAAATTTCTTTAAGTTTGGGTCAAAATTTTGATTGATTTTCTCTGGCATCTGAATTTTTCCTGACCCATCAAGTTATGTTATTTGTTTGATTTTCACTGGTTAGTTGTGTCCTTGTGTATAATTTTCCTCTTAAGATGAATTTTCTCTGGCATCACAATTTTCTGTAAACACATTGGATTCATTTTACTCTGTGTGTCTTGCTCGATTTTCTATAGCTAGTTGTCTCTTTGATTTTTTCTCCAATTTCTCTAGCATTTTAATTTTCCCTGCTCACATTAAACTCCCACTAATTTGTATTGTTTGTTTGATTTTCATTGATTAATTGTTCCTTGAATTGAATTTTCTTTACCATTTGAATTTTTCCTGAAAACATCAAAACTCTCACTAATTTAGGTTACTCGTTTGATTTCACTGATTAATTGTCTCCTTATGTGTAATTTTTCCTTTGAGATGAATTTTATCTGCCATGAAGATAACCCATTTAGATCAATTTTCTCTGAATACATTAGACTCTCTTTCTCTCTATGCCTCGCTTGATTTTCTCTGGCTAATTGTCTATTTGATTTTCTTTCAAATTTTCTTTGACATTTAAATTTTTCCTGCCCACATTAAGCTCCCACTAATTTATGTTGCTTGTTTGATTTTCACTGGATTTCTAACTTCGAATTTTATTTTTAATCTTTTAAGATGTGTGGTATTTGCTATTTTTTAAACTGTACTTAGATTTTGTATTTTAAATTCTTTGATGAACTTAGCATGGTGTTTTCTTATAAAAATGATAAAAAATTTGGTTTGTGAGTAGCTCAATTTTCTTTGATTTGTTCAAAACACAGAGAAAATTATGAGCAAATCAGACAAAATTAGTCAAAACACAGAAAAATTTGTAAGCAAACTAGAGAAGTTTCAAACAAATTTTTCTGTATTTCAAAATTTCTTTGAATTGAAATTTCTCTACTTCAAAATTTCGGTCACGACCCACTTCCCGTACCCAAGGGTTAAGTATCGTGATGGCCAGTAACTGAAATTACCTCCGGCCAATTCTTGAACAAATTAAT